TTCGGGACCCCGAAAAACCTTGCGAGTGATCGGGACTCGCGCTTCATTAGCAATGAATGGAAGGACTTCGAATCTTAACTCCCTGGCCTCAAATTGAGCATGACATCGGGTGGACATCCCGAAGCCAACAGTTTGGCTGAGGAGGTTAACCAGACCGTGTTTCAACTTCTCAGTGCTTTAATCATGATTTCGGACCAGGAGACGTGGGATGAAGAGTTGTATTCAGTCAAGGGGTTGTACAACAACTTCATCCATTCTTCCTCTCACATGACGCCAAACAGGCTGCATTACGGTTGGCCGATTCGTAATCTGCTCTCCTACCCATTTCCGGAACAGCCGGTTGATCTAACGCCCAGCAGGTCTAGCTTCATCGCCAAGTATGATCACTTGCTCAAGGTTGCCATTGCAACAAAATGACCAAGCAACAACACACCATGATCCATCATGCAAATAAGAAACGCCAACCTTCGGCTATTAAAGTAGGAAGTTATGTCTGGGTCAAGATATCTGAATTTTCAAAAAAAGAGAGGGTCCACGCTAACTTCTCCCTCTATTACGGTTTGTGGAAAGTTATGGACGTGATTGGTAATGACGAGTTCGGTCCGTCATATGTAATTTTCGTGCCTCCTCATCTGCGGACATACCCAATATTTCATGCATCAAAGTTGTTTATATATCGTGATGCTGAGTCCTCCGACTATCGTGAAGACATAATTGCTCGTGCAATCAATGGCGGTCACGAGATCAATAGAATAAAAAAACACGTAGGGAAGGGACGTAACAGACAATATCAGATTTACGTCATGTATCACCCGTTAGACAATCTCTATTGGATCTCAAAGAAGGAACTGCTGCGCAGTGCACCTTGCGTTGTTAAAGCAAACAAGCGACAGATAGCCTCTAATGTTGTACCAAAAATCTCTGTTACTGAGTACTCACGAAATCTCTTTGCTATGTTCGCTTACGATGTGTTCGTCGGGGACTCAAATGAGTTACTTGCTCGAAGGGACCTCGCTCTTGAGAGGGAGGTAGTGTAATGACCTGCCAAACACGGACTGAGACAACATTTCTGAGTTTTGCTCATGGAATGTATGCCTTACTGAGTTTCCCGCTAGTTGCTAAGTTTTCTAAGTCTGTGTGGGTGTGTGCTTGCTGGTCTGCATGCCTGTCGGAGTGCTTGTGGGCTTGTGTGTGTGTTACCCGCAAGGGCACTTGGTTGTTCGAAAGGCCCGAAGGGCCGGTACTTACTACATGTGGCCGTGACATTGAGGGTTGCAGCGGGGAAAACACTCAGTGTCAGGGAAAGAGGCCCGCGACAGCAGCAGAAAAAACACTCAAGTAGCAGGTAGCCCGGTACCACACCAAGTAGAGGTAGATGTGCCGGGTACTCGAGGAGCAGCAGAAGAAGCCAAAAGTTATTATTTTTTTAGAGGCCCGGTATTTGTAGGCTAGGTCTAGGCGGGTACCAGTCCAACCAGTCTGAGTCTAGGGTCTGTACGGGCAATATCAGAGTCTGCAGTGATGTTTCCCTCCGAAAGGGAGGAGGTACTGATTGTTCCGAGGCCGCGCAGCCTAGGAGGTCACTCGCCAAGAGGCAAGCAGGCCGCCATATCTCCAAGGGGAGCAAGGTGCTCCTAATTGTCGGTGTTCCAGTTTGGCGACACACTGGTTGGAGCACTGGCTGGAGCCGCGCTTGCTCGGAGCAGCGCTGCAGGGGAAGGAGCAAGGATACGAGGAGAAGGAAGACAAGGACTGGGAAGGAAGGAGAGGCAGAGGTACTTACCTGGCTATGGCAGAGGTACTTACCTGGCTATGGTGGTTGCCATCTTCATCACCTTGGTGGGCGCTGCAGCAAGAAGGCGCCAGCGGGGGAAAAGCTACACCAAGAAGCTTTGAGGCAGAGTCAGGCATGGCGGCCTGAGCTAGAGCAGCAATAGCTGCTTGAGTTGTCTTCTGCACATCAGGGCAAGGCCCTAGCAGTCCGCCATAGCCTACGCCTTCGAAAAGAGGAAGGAGAAGGGTGCCATGGCTATGGTGGACCTCATGTGAGATACCTGCAGTAGAAGAGGGATTCGGACATTGATTCTGGTTCAGCCATTCAACATTATTATTATTATTTCTTGATTGAACTATTGATTGAACAAGAGGGGAGGAGATAAGGAGGAGGAGAGTGGTTGGCAAAGAAGGAGAGCATTACCACTGGTCTATGCTGGTGTACATCTTCTTTTTCTTTCTTTCTTCTTTTTCTTCTTCTTCTTCTTCTTCTTCTTCTTTCCCTCTCCCTCCTCTCAAGTTCATTCATTTCTTTTTGCAACAGGACAGCGTTGTACTTTCTGATGAATGTGTACTTTGAAATTGGCCAGGAGCATAACACATCACTGACAGGACGAGGCAAGCAGCACATGACGTCAGCACACCACCAAAATTGCGCACTGGAATGGACCATACAAACCACAACCAACCACGGCATGGCAGGAAGTAGATGATGTACCACGGCACCGCAGAGCAAATGTGTTGTGCCTGGCCATCACTTGGGAGGCAGATGGGTGGCTTCAGGAAGGCGTGAACAGGGGATAGCAAGTACTACAGGGAAATTAACATCTGCCAACAGAGCAGCAGGCAGCAATCATACAAGCAACAACAAGTGGTCAAAGTGAATGCAGAGCAACAGGCAGAAGTGAGCAAAGGCAACCAGCGGGGCCAAAATGCAGTGCAGCAGGCAGATACGACTGCTAAGCACTGAACAAAGGCAACTGCAACTAATGATAGGGAGATGAACTTGCAAGGTGATGTATATGCAGCAATGGTGCCAGGTTGGGGGCACTAACCAGAAGAGAAAAGAACCTGCAGAAGACTAATGAAAGCACAGGGCAGAGAGGTAGACACTGGGCACTTACCGGTGGCTGTGCACAAATGAAGTCAAAGGCCTTTGGGACTAACAAAAGGAGAGTGAGGTAGACGCCAACCACTTGCAAAGCTGTGGCACATGCAGAATGCGATCGAAGAAGAGGAACGGACACAGCCTGGAGAAAACTAACGGAAACACCAGGCAGAGATGAACACACCCAGTGGCCAATGATGTGCACAAATGAAGCCAAATGCCACAGGAGAAGACGAACGGACAGCCTGGAGAAGACAGACGGAAGCACCAGGCAGAGCCCGTGGCCCACACTACACACAAACGAAACTGAATGCAATTCACAAAATGGAACTAACAAGGTAAGAGGCCAACCACTTACCGGGCTGTGTCAAACGAAGAATGCAAGCGCAATTGAGCCACCCCACACAACAAAGGCTTATGGTTCCCACAACAACAACAGAACCGATCTTTAATGCACAAGATAGATGCAAGACCAATGCACAAGGTGGAACCAATTTGCTGTGCACGCAAAGAGCCATGTGGAAGGCAACATCAGGTTCGTTTAAGGACAACTATGGTTTCGCAAGTTTAACACAGTTGCACTTCACAGCAAAACAGCACACCCGCATCAGCACTTGTGGAAGGGTGCTGTTTTGCTGTGAAGTGCAACTGTGTTAAACTTGCGTGCACTTGTGGAAGGCAACACCGGTGTGCACAGAAAAACCCATAAAAAGAAAGAAAAAGAAAAAGAAAAAGAAAAAGAAAAAGAAAAAAAACAGATGAAATGGGAGGGTTTTTCTGATTTTCCACAGATTTTTTCGTGGGCAAACAATAAACAAAAAAAAGAAGGGTTGTAGCTAGCTTTCCCGAGGTGCCCGGCCGGGCACCCAACGCGCCTCGCCCAGGGTACCCCGGGCATGAGCAAAATCCACCGGAATGCTTGCTTTTTTTTTTGGGTCTGTGGGGCCCTTGCTGCGCTCTTCCAATACTCCTCAAATCCGGCCTCATTGTTTTTCTTCAGGGAGATCGGTTTCAGTGTGTCGAGGGGGGAGTGGGGGGTATATTAGGGGTTGTCCGTTTTGCAGGAGGGAGGTAGACTATGGAGGAGGAGGGAGGGAGACTGATAAGGAGGAGGAGGGGGAAGGGAGGGAGACTATGGCAGAGGAACGGAGATTGATGTGGAGGAAGAGAGAGGGAGTTATGGTGGAGGAAGGAGAGAGGTGGAGGGAGGTTTACTGATGGAGGATGGGGGCGAGAGGGAGACTGTGGATGGAGGGAGGAGATAGCAGAGGAAGGAGAAAGGGAGACTATGTGGAGGGAGGGAGACTGACGGAGGAAGAGGAAGGAGAGAGGGAACCGCTATGGCGGAACAAGCAGGTGAAAGAAGAAGCGCTATGGCGGAGCACGGAGAAGAAGCGGACGACGAAGAAGAAGAAGAGACGAAAGAAGAATGAGAAGTTTTTTTTTTTTTTTTTGGTCTGTGGGGCCTTGAAACGCGATAGAGCGCATTTGACGGTTACAGTGAGCACGCTCACATCTTCCCCACGCTCCCAATGGATTGATCCTTTAATGGGTGACCCTTCCCAAAAATTATCTGGGGTTGCTATTATACCTGTTGTATTCAGGGCAGTCTTCAGGTCAGAGTGCAGAGAGACTATAACCGCGCATTGTATTGATAGCACTAGAACTCATAGAAGTTATTGATAGCACTAGAACTCATAGAAATTATTGATAGCACTAGAACTCATAGAAATTATTGATAGCACTAGAGCTCATAGAAACAATGTTTGAGGTTGAACATTCCAACACAGAAGTTCCATGAAGAGAAATTGCATCATGCCATTCCATCCACTAGAAATGGACAGACGTCGATCAAAAACGGACAACGAGGAGGAGGAAAACTCACATAATGCATAGTCACTGTGCGCAGTCGACTACAGGGTCGACAGCGAAGAAGCATGTCACTGTGCTGAAGTTAGGTGTAGAGTGGTCAAACCATGACAACAGAATCTGTGTTCGTATAACAAATCATCTCTTCACTGTTGGGCAGATCTTCAATTACAGGGACGAGATGATCTCAAAGTCGTAGAGCCAAAATACAGAAATCCTTTAAAATGAATGTGTCCAGAAATCCGTTCCCAATGGGGAGACTAAAAAGCAACCAAAAAAAACAAATGTCCCGTACTGAGCCCCAAGCCGTAGCCTGCAATTGGTGGAGATGATTGGAAAGAAGGTTCCAGTGGAAGCTCAACTGCCCTCTCTACACACAAAAGTCAGCCGCCACCTACATCCTCGAACCGACACCAATCCAGAAAGGATTATTGGAAAAAAGCCTACCCTCAACTACCATTGACATCCCCATTTGAACCTGCTGATGCCAATCTGTACTTCCAAATCAATAAATCAATCAATTGTTGAAATTAGGTGAAGCGATAATTTCCTTCCTGCCGTAAGTAATCGTGCCCTCATCAACTGCTCTCCCACCAACGATTCCTCTTCAATTTTAATTTCCTTTTGTTGTCTATGAATCACGCTAATCGTCATCGTTCCCAGCTAAGCCTTGCGAAGCTTGTGCATTCCCCATCATACGTGACCTGGCTCCGAATCACATCCTATCCCGAGTGCGATCCGAAGATAACTTACAGCAACGGTCAGTATGAGCACCTGCACCAGTTCCGCCCATATTTTACCTCCCTCAAGTTGCCACTGCTCCCTCCACTACACGAAGTCCCGTTCATCGTCAATACCCGCTCCTCCTCCTCCTCCATCATTATGATGTCTCAGAACCGCCTCTGGCCTCCATTCGTTCCAGGGAATAACGTCGCACGCGCGCACAAACGGTCAAGAGCAGAGCAGAGGGGCCATCGGGCACACACAAAGAGCTACCCAGAGAGCGAGCAAGCAAGTGGTCATCCTCCCCGAAATGCCATAAACGGAAATTATGGCTGAATTATTGCTGATACAAACCAAACTAAGTGCCGCTGTCTACCTAAGTACCTTCGCTTGCTTGTTCCTCTATTGTCCACGACTCCACGCTATCGCATTCCAACAACTTGCCCCCCAAAAAACCCTCCCAACCCGCCCGGCCGGCGCAAACCCAACCAACATCGCATTCCGCTTCTCGGCACTTTCCTCCCTGTAAAAAAATTGCCGAAACTCCACCCGCCCTGCCAAGACGGACGAGCGGAAGAACCAGCCGACGGCCATCCGGCCAATTCGATGTCACAAACAAACAGCCTCAAACGCACGTACAACCAGCAAAACAGCAGCACGACCTGAGCCTGAGGCCTCGACGGCTAGGGTCCTAGGGCACGCTAAACGCGCGCATCTTCCACGCAAGACGGTGCTGTGAATCCTTCTCTTCGTCACAGAGACTGAACCGTGCACGTTCGGCATTGGCATGCGCCGGCATCAAACACCTTCACGACACGCCAGCCCTTCTACAAGTCTACTACAAGTAATAGCGACAGGCCTCATCGTCTGAGGAGATCTCCGGAATCAGCACAATGACGCCATCTATTACTCACACAACCTTGGCAAGCGACAAACAAAGCCTCGCTCACACAATACTAGTATAACTCCTTTCCACTTCTCCGACCACGGCCCTCTCCTTGCGTCCGAGAGAAAGCGGCGTTCATACGCTCCGCTCGCGGGCCCATCTTGTCATTCTCATACCAACCACAGTTTTGCTGCTGTACACACGACCTTCCTCCACTGCCACACACTGCCACACAGACAGAATCTCCTCGCCTGTCGCTTCGACACGATCGTACTATCTTCTTTCACCAGATAGATACTGTAAATCAATCCAGATAGATAAATCAAAATCCAGGTAGTTCTCCGCCTCCTACATACATCATCATGATCAGCTTCACAAGTCCCCTACAAATCGAAAATGCAGTTAACCATTGGCAAATTACAATAACAAAGAATTCACTGAAAGAAAATTATCAAAAAACAGGTCGTCCGATCGATCCCCCAACCCGAAACAAAACAATGAGACTCAAATTCTTAAGGCGAGGATGAAAAGGAGGAGTGAGCCAACCCACCCGCCACAGAAGTCCGCCGACAGATGTCGTCCCCGTGAGTGGACACCGTGCTTTCATTCACATAATGAACTCCTCCCCAACCGCGTCTTCCCAGCAATCCTCATCGTCGTCTTTGGAGCTGTCCTCGCCCAAAGTCAGGCCTGCCAAGGTTTCCCACCTCCCATCCTCCGCCACATCGTCATTACGGACGATGACACTCGAGGTGCTTCTCGGGGACTCGTCACGGCTTGAGGCGCACCCTGCACTGGACGTTCCTTTCCCCACGACCCCTTCTCGGCTCCTCCCAATGCCTCCCGCATCATCGGAACTCGACGGCGCGTTCTGCCGTGCCGGCTCCGATGTGCTCATAATAGCCCCTCCTTGCGAATGACTCTTCTCTGCCGGCGTATTAAACCTGCTGCTACTCTGATCTGCATCTTCCCCCCTTACGACACGGAAACCCTGGGCCTCCGCCGACGAAGAAGAGGAGGGGGGGGGGGGGTTATCCCACTCCGGCAGGCGCCATCCACCTGTGTCCATCCACGACAGAGCCGGAGAGGAAGCGGACACGACTCCGCCCTCCCATAGCAGGCAAGTGTTCCCTCCAGCTAAGTTCAGCTCATTCCCGAAGCTGCCGCTCTTAATGCCATTCCCAATCAACCCAGCTCTGACCGGGTCTCTCACATTCCCGCATGATGACCCTTGAGCTTCACTGGAAGCAGCAACTCCCCGGTTCTCCGCGATTGCAGGCCCTCGGCCCCACAAGGCACGCCCCCCTCGTCCCCAGGCTGTTGCGCCGCCAGATGGCGTGGCAGACAGGTACGCCGACGACGAAGTTGCAGCAGCAGCTGCAGCAGCTACCGGGGCGACTGCCCCGGAGTACGTGGAGGCCCCATCCACCCTCTTCAGAACTGCAGCGGCCGTTTCCGCACTTTGCCCGAACACAGCGATGGCGTTCCGTTCGCTGAGGAAGACGAGCTCGCATTCCTCGTCGAATTTAGCAAGCTCTGCTGCTACGTCCAAGTCCTCCGGCCAATCAAAGAAAGTCACAACGCGGTCCGGATCCATGTCCAGGTCCTTGTCGAGGACCGGCTCAATAACCGCGTTGGCGTGCGAGGAGAATGCCAAAGCTGCAGAGAGAGGCAGTCGAAGAGGGGCCTGAGATCTGCCCGTGGCGAAGACGACAACGAACCTCTTCGGCTCCCACCCAACAGACAGGGCCTCCATATCCCACTCTCGAGCAATCGCTTTGATAACATCCCTACGCTCCTTCTCGAGATAAGCGAAGACATGAACCCGCAGTCCCCCACTATCAACCTCAATAGCGCCCGCGGAACATACCTCCCGCCAACGAGACTCGAGGGTGAGCAAGTAGCGCAGCCTGGCCTCCACTTCCGCCACCCAATGGGGATCCCTACGCACCATAGTCAGGACGCACGACTGCTCCGCCGCATCATCGTTATTATAACAGTTCGCTAGGTCAATAGGTCCCGCGGAGCACTGCCTCCTCCCATCTTCTCCTCCTCCACGGTCGCGATCCCTAACTCCATCTTCCCTGTCTTCCCCTGCGGCCACATCGGGCGAGTCGCACGGGGGTCTGTGGCATGTGCGTGTGCACGGCCGGCCGCAGGCACGCATCTTCCCACAGATAGCATTGCAACGGATGTCCCTGGACCCACATGGCACGCCTCGCAGGACCACATGCCCCCCCTCGCACTCCTTCTCCACCGGTTCCGTGCAAGGAGGGCATGCGCCGAAGTGGCAAAGATGAGTAGTGGCATGGCCGCAATTCTGCGGCTTGGAGCACGGAAAGGGACAGGCAGGTTGAGGGGTGCCGCACGGCACAGGCGGGGGAATGAAAGCCCGCCCGCAGGCGCACGACAGCCCCTTGTCCACGGAAAGGTAATCCGTGCAAGGAGGGCACGGCCCTTCATGACAAAGCTCCTGGCAGGTGTGCCGCCCACACCGGAGCTTCCTTCCGCATACAAGCATGCACCGATGCGACTCATTCGCCGCACTGCCATCCTCCTCTTCTGTTGGACGGTTCATGGCACTGCAACAGACTGCCGCACAAGTATGCCGTCCGCAGTTCTTCACCCGCCCGCATTTGGTGTTACAGGCAAACCACCCACTCGAGCGCTCTCTACAGGTGGTGACAGTTGCACTAGTATCTGCAGCAGAAGCAACAACAGCAGCATTGGAAGGAGTGACCTGAAAGCAAGGGACCTGTCTAGAGGACGAGCCGCAGCGGCATTTCTGATCAACGAGGACCTCGCAGGGAGGGCACGGACCCGTATGGCACACCTGCTCGCACGCGTGCTCGCCACATGAGAGCTTCTTTCTGCAACGCCCTTCGCATGTCGGGACGGATTCCAGACAGCTCTTTCGCTCCTTCCCTCCCAGCAGATCTCTAATTAGCGACTTGCCGCAAGGGCACCGAATGAGCACCGAAGGAAGCAACCTGCAGGCTCCGCAGGGTCCGCTATGGCACGGCCTCTCGCATCGGTGATTGCCGCAGGCAAGCATTTTCCCGCACTTCTCGCCGCAGGAGAACACCCCTAACGGAGCACCGGCACCTGGTTGGGGGATAGACAGATCTCCCTTGACGTTCAGGCGACCGCAGGTCTGCAGCTCCTCCTTTCGCCCGCAGAAGCAGCGTGCCTTAATCGTGACCTCGCACAGCCCGCACGGCCCCTCATGGCACACTCGCGGACACAGGTGTCGCCCGCAGGACATCTGCCGCAAGCAGGTCGCCCCGCAGCTCCGCCCGTGCTTCTGATACTCCGCACACTTCCGCGTGATCTCGCTTTTCCGACAATAACAGAACACCGTGGGCGCCATGGCTGTGCAGGTAATATGCGGCCCTGGATGGCAACGCAGGGTGCAAAGGTGAGGACAGCGGTACCCACCCCCTTCCGCCGAAGCGGAAGCGGCGGCGCCTGTTAAGATGGCGCCACCGCCTCCGTCCTTAGCACCACCAGCGCCGGCACCGCCAACCCCGGTAATGCTCCGATCCAAGGGGTGATGACAAGTTTCGCCGCAGGAATGGGGGACGATGAAGGGGTTGTTGGTGGGCTCCTCCTTTTTCCCACAGAAGCACTTACATGCGAGCTCCGCGGGACTCGTCGTCTGAAAAGACTTGCAGGCCGGACAGTGCCATGAGCAGCTGACATCAGGTTTTGCCGACAGTCCCCCCGACATCGAGGAGGAGGGAAGGGAAAACGGAGGAAACAGCGCAATCGTCTCGGCCGCCCACTTCCTTACGCAATCGAGATGGAAGATTCCGTAGCAGGCCGTGCAGTACCAGATCGTAGCGCTCCTGGAGACGGGTTCCGAGCAGACAGGACAGTCCAGGAGGCATTTCCAAAGTTTATCCTCGAGTTCCTGTACGAGTGAAGGCAAGGCTCTGCTGCCAAACATCAATCGGGACGGGCGTGAAGCCGAGGAGGAAGAACCCGACGTCTCCTTCTTCCGAATGCTCCCTCCTCCTCCTCCTCCTCCTCCTCCTCCTCCCCCCCCACCTCCTCCTCCGCTCCTCCATTCTGCTTCGCCTCCCGCGAAAATTGGAGCCCTGTGAGGAGGCCAGGCAGACTCCCTATCTCGCCAGTCCCTCTCCCCTCCTCGTATCTCATCCCTGTCTCGCCTCTCCTCTCGTTCTTCTCTCGCTCTCTTCCTCTCTTTTGCATCCCAATGCTCCTCCCCACCCTCCCCGTGCCCATAGTCGTCCCCAGCACCCGATCTCCAGTTGCTGCTCATGTCACTTCTGTGCCGCGATCCGCCCCAGTCAAAGGACTCGCTCCTGCTCCTGCTCCTCCTGGACCCGTTAACCCTCGACATTCCTATCGCCCCCGGGGGAGCCCCTATTCCACCACCTCCTCCACCTACCGCCGCCCCTCTCCCTGAAAGAGTTCTCTGGATGCCTATGTCTACCTCGCGACCTCTTCCCCTCCCTGTCTCCCCCGCCCCCTTCTCCTCCGCACTCTCATCCGCTACCAGCCCCGCCACGCTGCGCCCTACACTGTCCTCGGTGCCATCTCTGCACCCTTCGCCTTCATCATCGCGTCCGGCTCCTCGATTCTTCGACAGCCCGGTCAGCTGTTTGCCGCTTCCGCTGCGCCACAGTTCTTGAAGCTTGGCCGCTCCAACGCTGGGATCCTCCCTCTCGTCCACCCCAGGAGCGCCTCCACCTCCTCGTTCCCCCTCGCTGCTTCGCCCCTTCGCCGATCTCCACGGGCATGAGTCGGAATCCCGCCCCCGAGGCGCCTGATACTTTCCCACCGCGCCCCCCCCCTGTCCCTCTCCCCACGATCGCGGGGTCGGCGTCGCTGTCCCGTCCTCCCCCGCATCTGGAACTCCAGTTCTCTCATCTCCGCAGAATGCCGCCGCTTCCTGGTGGTGATCGGCTGTTAGAGACGGCAACAGCGCAGGTTGCTGCTTCCCGCTTTCCCCGACATTGGCAGCGCCGGGACCCTCCTCCGGCTGCTGCTTCTTCTGACTACCGGTAGTACTTGGAGGGAAATCGCGCCCTCCCCCTTCCACACTCGTCGCCCCGATTGTCGCGAAGCGCGTATGCGATTTATCATCCGATTTGTCGGAGGAAACCGACAACTCGTCGTCCTGCCGGACTTTCCAGTCGTTCGGTCGGACATCTCTTCTCTCTCTTTGACTCTGAGGAGGCCGATCGTGACCCCAGCTCGATCGCCTGTAGTGACCCCCTCCTCTTGGCGTCGAAGAGGCCGGTGGCAGGCCGGGAACACCGCCCCCCGCTTCTCCCCCGTGTCCTGCTACACCGTCAACGGGTGCTCGATCGGCGGCGGCACCAAGGCCGGCGACACCCCCCACCGCTCCCGCTCGCCCCCCAGCGCCTGCTGCAGATCCCGCAAAGTTAACGTCCCTGCTACGTGTCCAATCGCGTGGCGGACTCGACCGAGGGCTGGCCCGGGGACTGTCGCGCGGACTGCATCGCGGGCTATCACGATCCCCACTTTCAATGCCGCGACTGTTGATCATATCCATCAATCTGTTATTCTGCCCGTCCCAGGTGGCTGCCCTAGCATGCCGGCTTCGAGTGGCGCTGCCACGAGATACGCGCTTCTGCTGGCCTCTCACGTTGGTCTCCCCGCCGACCGCCACCATCCCCCCTCCGCGTGACTGCTTCTCCCCTCCAGAACCAGACGCACCCACCCCCCGACACAACCCGCCCAGCGCACCTGCGCCCCCAGTTTCCGCCGATCGCCCGAGGTTAGATCGCGAGGAAGAAATGGGCGCGGCGATTTCCACTAGTACTTTGCCCCTCTCGTCCGTCACTCGACCGGCTGACAACGGCGACGACATTTGAAATAACGAGAAGAGCTGCAGGTGCTGCTGCTGCTGCTGAGCCTGGGATTGAGGCCTCTGCAGCTGCTGCTGAGCTTGATGGTAAAGCTGTTCGCGACTTGCATTCGGTTGCCTATACTGCTGCTGCTGATGTGAGAGCGACGATCCCTCCTCGGCTTCCCCGGAAGATGACGAAGATGGAGGCGGCGACTGATACCGTTGAACCACGTGCGGCGCCGGCGATAACGGTCCTTGAGGTGGGAGCTGTCTCCTTATGCTCCCTCCTCCACTGCCCGCCTGCGATCTGTACGTCCTCTCATGGACCACCAGATCCACGGCACTCGTGCTTACGCTTCGCCGGTGCCCTCTCAATTGCGTCCTCCTGATGCTCCCTCCCCCAGCTCCGGGGGTAAGCGCATTGTCATCTCTCACACCACCACCACCACCACTACCAACCTTCTCGTTCCCATCATGACGACTGAATGCTATTTGCAGCTGTGGGCGCACTCTCTGACTCGAAGCACCGCTAATGCGTCCTGCATGATGACTTAACAAGTCCGCCTCGTCACTGTTTGAACCATTGCGATGGTGGTGAACACCACCACCACCGCCGCCGTTTCCTCCAATGGCATCCATTGTCATCATATGATCTCGACGGGCAGGGAAACGCCCTCCTTCTCTGTCGTGCTCCACGCCTGTACTTCCGTCCCCACTTCGCCCATCCATTTTCGCTATGTCATGAACAGCAGCAGCAGCAGCTCCCCCGCCAATCCTTGTCCCCTCTAAACAATTCCTCTCGTGCTGCCCCTCCTTCGACCTGCTGTTTCTCGATCCCGACCTTCGACCGTCCGTCTACCGTCTCTCCTTCCTTTCTTGCTCCGCTCATACGTTTTCCCGTCCCCGCTATGCTGTTGTCATTGCCCACCCGCTCCCCTCCCTCTGCCTTCTCCCGTTCCCTCGCCGCACTGCACGCTTACGAGAAGTACACACGGTTATCACGGCCGTGTACGTGTACGAGCTGAAGCTCGCGGCAGCTTCAGCCCCCACGGCACGGGAGAAGACAGCAGAAAGGGGAGAGAATCTCGATGTTTGGCAGGCGACGACGGCAAACCAAGCCGGGAACAGAATCGGCTGGAAGGAGGAACGCGTGGCCAAGCAGGCGGGAACGTATTGGAGGGGAAGCAGGAACTCGACCGCGGGGTTCCGCAGCAGGTTGGTAGCCGCCAGCCCGACATACCCTTTTTTCCCCTTTCCCCCAGTTGTTTCCTACCGGTAGCGATCCGTCCGAGGAGCAAGTGCTTCGGTGACTGCCACCGCGGATTTGACCTGGAAGGTGGCCCTCCACTGCTTCACCTCGTCGATTCGAAGATTGACCCCTCGATCCCCGCCCATCCTTCCCGAGTTCTTCACCGGCGAGCGTCGCTGCCTGTGGCCCAAAGGACAGGTGCGTGAGCGCCAAAGCAATCAACGAACAAGGCCCAGCCATAGGTCAGTACGGGAGAATCTCACGGTTGACGTCGGCTCGCAAAACACACCCCTACACCCACACCGTGCCCAGCCCTCCTCGGCGCTGAGCAAAATAGAGTCGTCCAGCCTCCCTCGGAGCAGAACCAAAAAAACTCTCCTCGGCGCGGAAGGCTCGCAAGTGGCATTCAGGAGGTCGTGGGTTCAATCCCCATTGTCCTCATGTACCTTCCTGGGCATGCTTGGCGCCCGCCACCTGGAGATAGACCACTGGATCCCCCGATTGGCATTTAGCAGAGTCTGCTGATGTTCATAGGGGAGGGGACCTGAGGGGAGGCACAGGGATTGGTCCTGTTGGCATGGTCCCTGATGCTACCGGCTGTCCCCTGGCCGGTATCGCCCACCTGCAGGTCGGGAGCAGCCCCCACATGTTCTCTCGTGAACACGGTTCTGGCTGCTACGGG